GGTCCATAAATTTGCATTTCTAATAAGCTCCCAGGTGATGCTGAAGCTGCGTATCCGCAGACCACACGTTAAATAGCACTGTTTTAAAAGATCATCTAGCTTTTTCGTACACATTCTTTTTTTGTGTCATCGAAAGACTTGTGAGCGGTATGCTGCTGGATGCTATGGAAGTGATTTACAAAGGAGTTTATAATATAAAACAGATACTTAGATAAACCATCTACTATGAAATGGAGTAAATCTTCAAGAAGATTAAGAACTTACATCATATACCCACAAGAAGGAATGCATTTTTGGGTTGGTGAGTAAGTTAGTAATAGTATGCATATTGAAAGTTTAAAAGGAACTCATCTTTTTAGGTATTCCAAACCTCTAGAACCAGTACCTTTCTCTCAACCTTTCTTAAAGAAGTGATTTAAGTTAGAGGAGAGAGGAAAACCAACTAGTATGTTTTAAATACCCTATTTCAGAAGCAAATTATCTAAAACTTACTGAAGCCAAACATCCAAAGGAAATCAAAAACTTAATTATAATTGAGCCAAATGAGTGCTTCAAGCACTCTATAAGTTCTACCTTAAATTGTGATGAAGCACTAAAAATATAAATTAAAAAATTAAAATTAGAGAGAAGAAAAAAACAAAACTTCCAAAAATATTGGCCTAATGTCTAAATCTGTAGTGAACATAAATATTGTTTGGGGAGTAGTGGATGATTCTGAAATTAAGATCTATTTGCAATTTTAGAAATAATTATATGATAACACATAGCTGTCAGTATTTATAAAATGTCTTGTTATTTAGTTACCATAACATCACAGAAGAATGTTGTAGCCTTGACACATTGGCTAGACTCTTTAAGTGAAAGGAGGCAAAAAAAAAAAAAGCTTCCAGTAATTATAAGTTATTTCCTGAGTTAATTCCTCAAAAGGATGTACTACTCTTAATGGCAATCTTTTCTACCAGGCTTCATCCAAAGTAATTTATTTGAAAACCGCTCACAGGGATAGGGCAGTGGGGCACCATTTTAATAACTGGATGCATAATTTGTGCCACCGCATGCATATATCATTTCATCGAGCACATGATTATGAAGTTGACTTTGACAGAACAGGGTTTCACTGCAACGGGAGATGAGGATACGGGCATGGAGTTAATCTACTCCAGCTTTCAGCACGCTGGCCCCGCTTTATTGACATTTTATCCACACTAATCATGTTGGCATGTGTCTGGTTTCTTCACTGTTGGCACAGCACAGACGTTTAAACTGGGCATTGGACTTTTCAGTTGATAAACAAGAGACCACGCAATTAGCCTCTCCCTAGCAGGTGTCCAGCGGTTTGACACTTCATTGTCTTTAGCAAGTATGTTCCTTGTAACACAAATCTAGTCTACTAGCAACACTACCTTTTGTCATATGTGGATGATGCAGTATTTTTCAATGTTGCAGTGCTAAAAATAGGGAATATTTTAAGTATTGAATCAGAATTAAAACAAAGAACAGGGTGAGATTAGGAAAGTGAATGCCCAGCTGGTTAAAACAACAACCCCACTCAGTGTCTGTTTCTTTCCCCATCAACTCTTGTAGCAAAATGTAATGATTGTGTTTGGCTGCATTTTAATTCCTCTCTTCAACTTTTATGTCCACATGAAATTAATGATCATTCCAGTTCTACATAGAGTGAGGAGGCCAGGGTGGGAAACTGCTTAGCCAGATAGACAAAGCCCATTTATATTCAGGCTTTGAAATCATAAATGCTGATTTATGAATATTTCTTCTTGGCATCCAGTTTACGTTTAATTTTTGTTCCAAATGTGATTTAAAAGTGATTGGTAGCAATGGAATGATTTTCAAAGGTGGACAGGAAAGGGTGGAAGGGAAGAAACGTAGGGTCTGCTAATCCAGCAGTCAAATAATTGACCCATGAGTAATTAAAAGTTGGCTGAGGTTGTGGAAACAAGACTGCCCCTCATGTGATGGCAGCCTCAAGTCTCCTTTGTAGTTTTTGGACATGAGGCAATGAGCCAAATGTTCTGTCTAAACAGTTTGGGAGTTGCTTTTAAGTTCGGCACTCTTGGAAAGGTATTATGTGACAAGCTATTGCTTCAGTGCCCTCAAATGGCACAATGGCCTCAGTGAATTAGAGCCTAAATTAGAAGTGTGGGCTAAGAAGTGGTTCTAGACTGGTTTCCCACCTCCATCCATTTCTGTGTCAGTGTACTCTCTTTAGTAACGTATCTCTGACAGGAAGGGCAATTTGAAAAAGCGCCTCTTCTTGCACCTCTGTGTCTCCTTTTTACCCAACATACATACTTTCTGGGTTTTATGTGAAGGACTGTGTATGTAAGTCAACTATATAATGACCCAGCAATTTCTTCCTGGCCAAGTCCAGTTTTAAGCCATGAACATGAAATGAGTCCTATTGTGGTAGTGCATGGATTGTAGGACTGCCGTAAAATGTATCATCCTTACTCTGTTGAAGATCAGTTACAGTAGGGAAACACTCATATGAGGAGCCACTATTTCCATCCCTGTTATCATCAGGGAAGGCCACCAGATCCAGTATGGTCCTCATTGAAATGCCACACCCTTCTGTCCAGGGGTAACCTTTATAGATACTATACAGATATTCTTTAAAAAGGAAAAGGACTTCCTGTCCATATAAGGTTTGAAAATCATTGCCTACCCTAAACCACGTTATGGAGATTACCAAAACATATTTGAATATTCCAGAGATCTGAGATGTTCTCCAGTAAAGAGGTCTATTCAGCTTTAACTCAGCCTTTCCCATATTTTCTGACCATGGGATACTTTGAGAATGCTAATAAATAATTTTCATTTTTCTTCTTTCTGGGGCTCAGGGACATGTAGCAGGTGATTTTCCTGTTTCTCGTTTTTCTCTTGGGAACACTGCTAAGTGTCAGTCATTTACCTAACACATCCACAATTGTGCCACCTAACTCTTCAGCTTTAGGATCCAGCTGGCATTGTAGAGGGAGCCGCAAATACACTGATAGAACACTTTTTTAAAAAAATCAGAATTCTGATATATTAAGTCACAAGGAGATTAAACTGGTTATTTTTTTTTTATTTTAGAAGGACACATTTTCTCACAATGGGAAGATCTACATGGGTGGTCAAATAATAATCACAGATTTGCTTGGTGAACATGAAATTAAAAGATAGGAGAGTTGATTCTGTGTACCGAATTGCCGTCAACATGCATTTGCCCTGACCTTTGCATTTTTCTCCACTGAAGGACAAATATGTCCCAGTAATTGGACGTAGTTGATCTTAAGACAATGCTGGAGATATTTTTCCCTCTCTGTTTGCCTCTCTGCTTCTCGAATTCTTTTTCTTACTTTATTATTTTTTCAATAAAAATAATAGATGCACATAATTTAAAAAAGAAAACTACTGAAAAAATATATATCTCTTCCCTGTTACTTTCCACTCTCTAGGTCCCATCTCTATAGAAATTTTTTGGTTATTTCTTCAGGTAGTCAAATCTACATTATATGCCTATATTGACAATATGCCTATATTTTAGTGGGCTGGTTTTATACATCATCTACTGACATCTCTTTATTCTTTTTTTTTTATAATTTTTTTTTTTTTTTGAGGAAGATTAGCCCTGAGCTAACTACTGCCAATCCTCCTCTTTTTGCTAAGGAAGACTGGCCCTGTGGTAACATCCATGCCCGTCTTCCTCTACTTTATACGTGGGACGTCTACCACAGCATGGCTTTTGCCAAGTGGTGCCATGTCTGCACCCGGGATCTGAACCAGCGAACCCTGGGCCACCGAGAAGCAGAAGATGCAAACTTAACCACTGCGCCACCGGGCGGGCCCCAACAGCTCTTTATTCTTGATGAGGATTCTGTTTCCTTATTTTATTTCCTGCATATTTTGTAGGCCTCAGGATTATATCACAGGAAACACATAATTCCAGCTATTTTAAGCAGAAAGAGATTTCCTATAGAGAATTAGGGACTTAGAAAATCATTGGAAGGGCTGGAAAAGCAGAATCTAGGCTGGAGTTCCAGGCATGATTCCCTGACCTGGGTAAGATTGGTGGGCAGAGACTTTTTACTAAGGTATAATTTACATACAATACAATTTCACTCTTTACTGTGAATAATTGAATGAGTTTTGGCAACTCTATATAGTTCTATAACCATACACCATTACTTTCAAGAATCAAACTTTTCCATCACCCCAAAATTTCTACCATGCCCTTCCCTCTTCCCTCCCAGTCCCTGACAATCACTGGTCTATTTCTGTTTATGTTGTCTTTTCTAGAACATCATATAAATTGAATCATATAGTACAAAGTCTTTTGTGACTGACTTCTTTTACTCTACTTAATGCTTTTGAAATTCATTCATGTTATTGTGTTTATTAGTACTTCATTGATTTTTATTACTGGGTAGTATTTCGTTGTATGAATATACCATGATGTGTTTAACCATTCACCCATTGAAGGACATTTGAGTCATTAACTGTTTTTGATGATTATGAATAAAGCTGCTGTGAACATTCATGTGGAGTTCTTTTTGTGGACATATGCCTTTACTTCTCTTGGGAAAATATTTAGGAAGGAGATTTTTGAATTATGTGGTAAGATCTGTCAAACTGTTTTCCAGAGCAGCTGTCCTATCTTGTGTTCCTATCAGCAGTGTAGATAGTTCCAATTGCACCACATCTTCAACACTTGGTACTATTAGTCTTGTGGGTAGAGTCTTAACCTAGTTTCCCTGATACCTAAATAGTTATCCCCTCTAGATTTGCTACTGCCTGGCCAGCCCCAGGCCTGGTTCCCTATGGTAGAACAATGATACATGTTTGGATCTACTAAATGGTGATGTCCAGGATGAATACAACCTCCAGTGTTGAGCTGAACATGCTGATGGATATGAAAAGATCATTGATCATGGTCTTTGGCTTGACCTTCACTGGATTTTAAATGCCATACAAAACAATGTTTTATGGTTCTCTGTCAGGCTTTTTGATCATTCCATGGAAGGATTTAAAAACTGGGAGTTCATGACTATTCATTGCTGGGGAGAACGAGCTGCGGGTGACTGGATCCTTGAAGTTTACGACACTCCCTCTCAACTGAGGAACTTCAAGACTCCAGGTGAGAACTCTCTTTCTGTAATTTGAGTTGCTGTGTAGACAATGTGATGGTGTATATTTTGGCCAAAGAGGATTTCACACTCATATATCCACGTCATTCTTTCTCATGTGATTCTATGCTTTGAGTTGTCTGCATGTATTTCAATTCTTGAGATTACCATTTGAGAGGTAATAATTTAAGGATAAGAAATAAAGAATAAATATTTAGACAGAAGTACAAGGTGAAACATGACAGCTATTGATTGACGTTTCAGAATATAGGATCCTCATCTCCAACCAGCTTCCCTTGCTTTCTTTGTCCATAAATGAGCCAGCCTTTTCCACCTGCAGTGGGTTAAATTGCATGGTCTTAAGAGGAGATAGGTTTCCTTAGGTATCTTTATTCTGAGTTTACTCTAAATTTAGCTTTCAGCACAGGCAAGACATTAAGCTTTGCCTCTGCCAGCTAAACTGGTTACCACTAAAGAAAATGAATGATGGTATTCTGACCCCGGTGAGGCCAAGAGCTAAGGAAAAAGAAACCTTTTCTGATATGTAAAACATAGAAATTACTATGTTAACAGAGGTCTTTTCAGGTGGTCTCAGATCCTGTTGCCAATATGGCTTGTTTCCCTCTTCATGCTAACATAGGAAGCTTGTTCGTAACATAAAATAAGGAGGATACAAATGCAGCATGAGGTGGGAGATTGAACAGCTTTACAGCAGCCCGTGTAGCCCATGATGGAGCCCTACAGAGTACTTGACTCAGTAACAAAAGATCTGTTTGATAACCACCCCAGCGTCCTGCCTGGCGGCGGGCACGTCTTCCATCTTCTGATAAAGTTATCTTTCTCAGTTCTCTGTCCGTCTAGAGAAGAGCCAGGCCTGAGGGAAATTCTGTGACTGACATGCAGTTCTAGCCATCTTCTGATCATAGAATAAATTACCCCAGACATTCTGTAATTAATTGTAAGGGTATGTACTATTAAGGTACTGTGGGCAGCCAGGGCCAAGGAGGCCCACCACAGAATGCAGGGACGAAGCATACTTTGGCCAGACTTTTGCCCACCAGTCAGAGAAAGTTAGACATTCTGCGAGGTCCATTTTGGACCACACAGTTTGGCTACCTCTTTCCCCTAATTCCATGGTGGAGTTCATCTGTGTTGCCACAGTGGCCCCATAATGAGAAAGGTTAAAACCAGCCTGGTGGCAAGGTCACAATGGATGAGCATAACAATTTTGTTAAAGACCATCTGGGTTCCAGCTCACCTCCAGCATGCACCATGAATATAATAGTTGCTAGGGTTTTATCCAGAAGTGAAATGTTGGTCAACAAGGCAGAGCTGATAGAAAACATTCAGAGAAAGTAGACCCTAGTTTCTGGATACTTCTACTTGTTCATAATCTACTTAGTTCCCAGGACCTTCCTCTCTCTTTCCCTCTTTTCAGTTCCTGCTCATTGCCCCTGTCGTGGAGACACACAGGATCATGGACTTGGGCAATGGCAAAGTGGTTGTGGCAAAATGGCAAAGGGCTGTGCTGCCCTGACCAAAGTTGATTCATCAGCAGATGTCACTACCTGGCTCTTATGTGTCAAGAGATCCCAGAGGAATAAACACTGTTAAATATACTATTTGTGTACCAAGAGGGGTCCAGGCATAGGGGGTGCATCATCTGTTGAGAATTTAAGACAGCTATAAAAGTGACTCTGCTTTTTATTGTCACCATGCACCAGCAATTCTAGAGAGTAACAGTGGTAAAATACTCCTCCCCACGAGAGCAGACTGCCCCTTGGGGCACATACTGGTTGACCTGGCATTTGTGTGCAAGAGTCGGAGCCTAGGAATATAAATCTCCCTGCCTTCCAGGATTTCACTCTGTCTGGAGTTTACTATGATTATCTGTGTTAAAAGCCCCCTGCATTAGCTCGGATAATCTAGAGTTATCTATTTCATAGCATCAGCTTTTCCTTAGACTATTTAAATCTTCACGTTTAACCCCAGTCACCTCTTCTTTTATGCCAGAAAAGAGATACCCTAATGCTATGACTGGCCTGGGGTCTGGAGGTTTTAATAGAAATGCACAGTCTTTGGGTGTCCTTCCTGCAACCAATCTTTTGGTTCAGGATTAGAAATGGACATTCACTTTTCCGTGTGTGTGTGTGTTTCTATCATTGTTTCTGTGGTGTACGGTCCTATAAAAAGTTTCTCTCTAATTAATGATTTTTTAGGCAAGCTATTAGAAATTCACTTGGAGATGTAAAATTTTCTAGGCCAATTAAATGTTAGAATCATTCCCAAATATATAAAGAGGTTCCTGGATCCAAATTGAGTTTTTGTTTATTGGTTTTTTTCCCATTTGTTTATTATTAAAATACACATTAAGGATTTTTGGAGGGGTTTTTGTTTTGTATTTTTGCACATTGAACCTATCTCCAGTTTTCTGTCTTGGGCAGATTGCTTTTATGTGTTAGCAAGTAGAATGGATTTTTTTCATTCTGTATTTATACAACTATTTCTTAACAGAATTTTGCAGTATCAGTTGTAAAATCTCCTATAGAATTTAGCAAATGGAAAAAGTGGTAGGGGAGAAAAAAGAATGATGGCCCCAGTGTGGCAGTATTTGATACGAATGGTGGCAGGGATTCTAAGGAAATAAAATTACATGATAAGTGAAATATAAAGACACGCATTGCCCAGCAAGGATATCCCTAGTGGGCTTACGTGGTACTTCAGGAATGGCACAAAGGGAAGTAATCAATTATGAACCAACGCTCTTCAGAGCACTTACAAGAGTAAATTTTTAGATCCAAAATGATCTTAAGGTAAATGAACCAGGGTTTAGGGTAACTGATGGATTGGGTTTCCTAGATGGCCCTGTATTATATGCCCCATTTGTACACTTGAGAGATGCCATGAGGAAAAGGGGTTCTCTTCTGTATTACTACCTAAAGGCAATCAGATAGCACATCAGTTTCGGGTGGTCTTTCATCTCTTGCCACTACTTAATGTATACCACTTGAAATTCTGAGACTGAACAGTGCCCTAATTATGAAAAGCGTAGTCATTAACAGGCGTGTCCAAAGAAAAGCTGGCAGAGGGCAAACCGCATATAAACCAAAATGCTGGCCCAGAGCAAATGTCAGCAAACAATGCTGCACAGAATATGTTCATTTATAAACGTTGGGTTCCTAAACTCCTGGAAATGAACAGGAAGGCAGTATTTATACAATGGTTTAAGAACACCGATTTAGATTTAGAATAGTTTTTTTTTAAATTGAGTGTAATTGACATGTATAACATTATATTAGTTTCAGATGTACAGCATAATGATTCGATATTTCTATATATTGAAAAGTGATCACCATAATAAGTCTAATTAACATCCATCACCTCCCATAGTTATAAAATTATTTTTCTTGTGGTGAGTAATTTTAAGATCTACTCTTTTAGCAACTTTCAAATATGCAATACAGTATTATTAATTATAATCACCATGTTATGCATTACATCCCCAGGACTTAGTTCTCTTGTAACTGGAAGTTTGTACATTTTCACTCCCTTTACCCATTTCACCCACTCCCCACCCCCCGCCTCTGACAAGCTCCAATCTGTTCTCTGTGTCTATGAGCTTGGTTTTTTGGGTTTTTTGTTATTAGATTTCACATATAAGTGGAGTCATATAGTATTTGTCTTTCTGTGTCTGACTTATTTCACTTAGCATAATGCCATCAAGGTCCATCCACGTTATTGCAAATGGCAAGATTTCCTTCTTTTTTATGACCAAATAATATTCTGTTGTGTATATATACCACATTTCTTTATCCATTCATCCATTGATGGATGCTAAGGTTGCTTCCATATCTTGGATATTGTAAGTAATGCTGCAGTGAACATGGGAGAGCATATATCTTTTCAAGATAGTGTTTTCATTTTCATCAGATAAATACCCAGAAGTGGAATTACTGGATCATATGGTAGTTCTATTTGTAATTTTTGAGGAACCTCCATATGTTTTCCATCATGACCGCACCAACTTACATTCCCAGCAACAGTGCACAAGGGTTTCCTTTTCTCCACAACCTCACCAACACTTGTTATTTCTTGTCTTTTTCATAATACCCATTCTAACAGGTATGAAGTGATATCTCATTGTGGTTTTGATTTGCATTTCCCTGATGACTAGTGATGTTGAGCGCCATTTCAGGTTCCTGTTGGCCACTTATATGTCTTTTCTTGGGAAAATATCTATTCAGATCCTCTGCCCATTTTCTACTTGGATTGTTTGGTTTTTTGCCTTTGAGTTATATCAGTTCTTTATATATTTTGGATATTAACTCTTTACCAGATATATGATTTGCAAATATTTGCTCCCATTTGCCTTTTCGTCTTGTTGATGGTTTCCTTTGCTGTACAGAAGCTTTTTACAGAAGTACAGAAGCTCACTTGTTTGCTTTTGCTTTTGTTGCATTTGCTTTTGGTGTCAAATCCAAAAAATTATTGCCAAGACCAATGTCAAGGAACTTACCACCTATGTTTTTCTTCTAGAAGTTTTATGGTTTCAGGTCTTTAACCTATTTTGATTTAGTTTTTGTGTATGGTTTTACATAGTGGTCCAGTTTCATTCTTTTGCATGTAGCTGTCCAGTTTTCCCAGCACCATTTATTGAAGAGTTTGTCCTTTCTCCATTGTATATTCTTGGTTCTTTTGTCGTAAATTAATTGACCATACATGCGTTGGTTTATTTCTGGGCTCACTATTCTGTTCCATTGATCTATGTGTCTGTTTTTATGCCACTACCATACTGTTTTGATTACTTTAGCTTTGTAATATAGTTTGAAAGCAGGGAACATGATGCCTCCAGCTTTGTTTTGCTTTCTCAAGATTGATTTGGCCTTTCTAGGTCTTTTGTGATTCCATACAAATTTTAGGATTTTTTGTTCTTTTTCTGTGAAAAATGCCTTTGCAATTTTGCTAGGGATTGCATTGAATCTGTAGATTGCTTTTGGTATTATGGACATTT